CCTCTCCGATATGACTTAAGCAAAAACTTTCGTTTAAAAATGAATTGTTATTCGTTTATAAAGCTATAGAGGGTTCTCGCGTGACGTCACGATTTCTTAGTCGGCCATATTGGATTACACACAAATTTTTATTATTGATAACATTTTCTAGTCATGGTAAACTTTTGTGCTATTTACCGTTGTGGAAGTAGAGGGGATAGAGACAAAAAATCTTTTTATCGTTTGCCAGCTGTTATTACAGGACAATGTGAAAAAACTCTGGAACTCTCACAGAAACGGCGTGCGAAATGGCTGGCTAATGTATCACGTAGCATTAAAACTAGCAATTTACCCTACGTGCGAATTTGTTCTGATCACTTCATTACCGGTAAATTTAATTAAAATCAAACAATCTTGAGAAAATAATTTGTTCTAGGCCAAATGTATATACCTAGCTGCTATGAATGTGAAAATACTCATTTATGAGGGAGGGATGCACTAAACTAAAGAAGACGAAGAGTATGTATATACATAAATACAACATAACTTAATTTTTTTTAGGTAAGCCTTCAACTCTGTTTGACTGCACTAATCCAGACTGGGCACCTACTATAAACCTTGGTCATGACAAAGTTACAGAAGCTTCGGCAGCACGTGACTCGAAGAGATATAAAAGAACACTTGGGAGAGAGGAAAAGAAGAAAAGCTTTGACGCAGCTTCAGCATTACTTCAACTGCAGATTCCCTATGATGAAGATGAGCCAGGGTCTACCAACACTGTACATGAGATAGCAACAGAAATACCCACTCAGACAGACTTGAAGGCTGCTGCTATCGCAGCGATGCAGACAGAGCTTCAGCGTCTACTTACTGAAAATAAAAACTTGAAACAACAATTGTCAAGTGAAAAAATGAAGTTTGATTTGAATTTTTTTAATGATGAAGATGATGATGAAAAGGTAAAATATTACACAGGGCTTCCAGACTTTCGCACACTTAAAATTTTATACCAATATGTAGAACCTTACATTCCTCACAGCAGGGCGAGTGTTCTAACCAAGTTCCAACAATTGAGTCTGTGTCTGGTGAAGCTTAGGCTAAACCTCTCTCATATGGACATTGGACAACGATTCGGCATCAACAAATCCTCTGCATCAAGGCTTTTTTTATGCATGATAGATGTTTTACACGCTCGACTCCAACCACTGATTCATTGGCCAGAACGTGAACAGCTTAGAGAGACGATGCCAATGTCTTTTCGTGTCAATTTTGGTACTAAGGTGGCAATTATTATTGATTGTTTTGAAGTGTTCTTAGAAAGACCATCGAATCTTTCAGCTCGTGCCTTAACATGGTCATCTTATAAACACAACAACACTGTCAAGTTCCTCATAGGCATTACACCTCAGGGCAGCATATCTTATCTTTCAAAGGGATGGGGTGGGAGGACAAGTGATAAACATGTGACAGAACAGTGTGGTATTCTCTCCCAGTTGAATCCTGGTGATGTTGTTCTGGCTGACCGAGGATTTGATATTGCAGACAGTGTAGGAATGATGGGTGCAGAGCTATGTATTCCAGCATTCACCAGGGGTAAAAAACAACTAAGTGGTGATGAAGTAGAGAAAACCAGAAAGATTGCCAATGTAAGAATACATGTTGAAAGAGTAATTGGATCTCTGCGACAGAAATACACAATACTTCAAACCACATTGCCAATAGACCTAATGGCAACAGATGACAAGAAGAATACAACTATAGACAAAATTGTAATTGTGTGTGCTGCATTAACTAACCTTTGTCCATCTGTTGTACCATTTAACTGATATGTTGTTTTGCAGTTTTTCGTGTATTGCTGCTAATGTTGCATTGTAGTGTAAATCAGCTCTATGTCTTATAGATATATGTAATTATATCAGGATGTACAATATAGACATATATATAACTATTAGTATATACGTAATGTATAATATATGATATATATATAGTATATATAATATACGTATACGTAGTGATAGAGAGAGAGAGAGAGAGAGAGACGAGAGAGAGAGAAGAGAGACAGAGAAAAGAGAGGAGAGAGAGAATGAGATAATAAGAACGCTATATACTGTGGATATAAAAATTATACTAAGATAATAATGTCTAATATTATGACACTCCTGATTATAAGTAATGCCTCTACTTTGACAATAGAATGAGTATAACACGTTAATACCACCGTAATGTGGTATCTTATACAGGTTACATACTAATAGATACGAGTGCTGTACTCGAATTAACCCTATAACACGTCATAACCGCAGATGTAGATCATGTGCTAGTGTCATTAATCGCTAGGCTAATCTTTGGGCCCAGCCTTGCGCGAATGATTAACAGTATAGCGCTTGCGGTACCAGTGTAAGATGGTGCACGGACAATGCCGTACCTTACACTAAATTATACCATGGCAAATGAAGTAGTGCATAATGAAAGATGCGGCGTGCCTTATAACGGCCATTCTGACTGAAGTGTCTATATACACCTATTTTTTTTACTGTACTTTGCATACGTAGTTTTATTGGGATCTAGATTATGAGTAGATCTACGAATGCTATGTTACGGAGTTGATTAAGCTGATGTCGAAGGAGTGTGAGTAGTCGTGTTTTTTAGGGGGTGCGTCGTTGACCTCGTCTTCAGCATGTTGTTATAAAAGGTTCCATATAGTGATACTGTAGATGGTAATCTGATGTCCGGAGCGATCAGTGAGGCGACAACTAAGGCAGAGGTGAAATAAAATATAATTGATGAATTATTAGAGATAATAGGATAGCGTGTGGAGATGTGTAAAGGATGTGAGGATAAAAATATTCTTTGAATTGCTACGGCTTGTCAATGCTGCGAGGACGACCACGTATTCAATTGATGTTTTAGCTGCATTGGATTAGTATGTAGCATATGTGGGTTAGATGTGTATTTGATGTAGATATATATGGATAAACAGATATCGATATAGACGATGTACGTGGCGGGAATTAAGATGCTCAATTTAAGAGAATATGATTACAGTTTTAGTAGTTTTAAGGAATTGGAGTGGATAGAGAATAAGAGATAATGACGTGAGGGAAATTAATATGGAGTTATGAGTAAGGTTAATTTAGAGATGTATAGATAGAATAGATAGAATAATGGCCCGACAGGCATTAGATTATGAAAGGTTAATGGATACGAGATGTACAGATACGATACGATAGTTTAGACTACGATTAATATAATATAAGATACGATAACTAAGGAGTAGAATAGATAGATAGGATATGAGTAGATCAGCGATAATAGATATGATAGATTAGATAGATAGAATAGAATAGATAATAGACTAGATAGATAGATAGATAAGATACAAGATAGATAGATAGATTAGATAATAAGACTAGATAGAGTAGATAGATAGATAGTAATAGATAGATAGATAGATAGATAGATAAATAGATAGATAGATAGATAGATAATATGACTTCGAGAGGTTTTAATGATTATAGATCAAGGACACACGATCTAAACTACCTCGATTCTCGGGGTTCCTTTTCTCCTCTCCCCAAAAGGTCACACTTACGTTTCTCCCGTGGCTGAAAGATCACCATGACATGGTGCGTGAGGGGAGGGGGTCGGATACTATAGGGAGGGGTGGGCGCGTTCGTTTACGTTGCATTGACCGTAACTGACCACAGAGATCACAGTGAGGGTGGTGTTAATCCATACAGGGATAATACACAAGATAACGGGACGCGCCGCTGAGTGAGAAGGAAAGGATTAGTCTCTCTAATGAGCTACTTGCCGTTGTCTCTCCGCTGCTAGTCAAATAGGGAGGAGTGAGCTACGCCTTTCTTTCTTTACCGTCTTTCTTCAAGATGGCGGATTACCGTCCGAGCTTTCTTAACGCGAAAGATTAAGGGGGGTTGCGAGAAGCGAGGTGCGCAAAAGCGCAACAGTGTGATTAGAGGTCACGCGGCCTCTTGTACGTTCACTTGTTTTCGCCTGACGGGAGGCGCGTGATTATTTTCGCGCCTCGCGAACACAAGCTTCGTCTGCGATCGCAGCGTGACGTCATCGTCGTACAGCTCGCGAAACCCGGCCGCCATTGTTTCACGCTCCTTCTGCTTTCTCGGCCACAAAACAACCACGAACAATGCGCGCTCGCAGCCAGCATGACGTCACGAGGTGAGAGGTCACTCTCGCGGCAACGGCCCGTTGGGGGGAGGGACTCTCGCTTCTCTCAGCCGCAGGGGGGCGCTAGCGCGAGGAGAGGACGACGGGAACAATAACCGCGCACGGGGCGTGCGCGCGAAGAGGGGGTGAAGGCAGGTAGAAACAATAGCCGCAGGGGGGCGCCAGCGAAGAGGGGCGTAGAAACAATTGCCGCGGGAGGGCGTGCGAGCGAAGAGGGGGCGACGAAGTGGAAAAACAATGGCCGCAGGGCTGCGGCATTGTCGCTGGAGGCCGTCTCGAGTAGTCCTGGTCGCCAGCCGGCTTACGGCCAGCGGAAGTAGCGAGGTACTTGAGTCTTCGTGCATCCGTGCGTCCGAGCAGAGTGAATGCTCGCTGCTACCAGTAAGCTCCGTGTCTGTATGCTCCCCCGCGTAAGAGAAGGAGGAGGAAGAGGGGGAAGAGCGAGAGAGAGAGAGAGAGAGGGAAGGAGAGAAAGACAAAGAGGGAGAGAGGGGGGAGAGAGAGAGATAGAGGGAAATAAAGAACGAACGAGAGCGAGCGAGAGAGAGAGAAAGAGAGGGAAGGAGAGAAAGACAAAGAGGGAGAGGAGATCAACACACGCCCGCCATATTTTCATAGACCACCCACAGAACAGCCACTCAGATCCGACTAAAAAGACGCCCCCGCGGACCCAAACACACGATCCAACGAGCAATACACATTCACCCAACCACACCCCGACCCCCATCTATACACTCCACCTCACCGTACCGGGCGCATGCAACCTCCCCGCCCTCCCCCCCAACCACCATTACCGACACCCACCCACTATATATGCCGATAAAAAATGCTAACGGCGCCGCACGAGCAGAGAAGCCTGTTTATGTGCATCGTTAGGCCAACAGCCAAAGGCGCCGGGGTGCATGCGTGCACACACACGCTTGTTAATATAAGTCCCTTCTCCTCTGCGCTCGTCCCCGCCTTTCCCTTCTCTCTCTAAAACTGAGGCAACAACTGAGCCATCACGAATCGTCCTCACACCGCTGGCCGCAATCGGGATAATGAGGTGACATTATGCCTCCCCTACGGGCACCCCGCACTCGGACCCACCGATCCCGCGCTGCCGTTATTATGCAGGTGAGCTGCCACGTACCACCACCGACACGCATCGGGTTCCCTCGCTTCTCACCGCGCGCTTCCCTCGTTGCTAACACTGCCTGCCTGCCTGCCTGTCTGCCTGCCTGCCCGCGAGTTACTGCCATAGAATAATAAAGATAAGCGTATATAGATAGTCTATCTATATTATTGCCTATGGTAACTGCGCTATCGAGGTTGCTTATAGTTTTCCTGGGCGGGAAATGACAGTTTTCTCACGGCGATCGTCTGCGGTGCGCGCGGATTGTGTTTCGAACGCGAGTGTCCGCTGCCCATTGTGACGTGTTTAGTGGAGTCTATTGTTTTGACATGGCGGGCGTGGGCTCCGCGTGCGCGTAGAGTGTGGATTCGGTGGGGAGGTGGTTGTGCGTGTGTGTGTGTGTGGGGGAGGGGGCGAGAGAAAACGCGGTGGTGCAAGTATTGTGTTGAATTAGGCGATTGTGGATCGATACGCAATAATTGATCGCATGTATTGATGATTATCGTGTGTTTGTTCTTTGTCCTGCTTTGTTTGTCTCCATTGCGCAAGTTGTAAATTAAATAAATGATACAATCGTCTTCTCGTAGCGCATATTCTCTCTCACAGACCTCTCCTCTCTCGCTCTCGTCTTCTCTCTCCTCTCTTCTCTCTCTCTCTCTCTCTCTCTCGTCGCGCGCGCGCTCCAGTCGCTCTCTCTCTCGTCTCCTCTCTCTCTCTCTCTCTCTCCTCTCTCTCTTCTCTCGTCTCATATCTTTCTCGTCTCTCTCGGCGTACTCTCTTTCTCATCTCTCTCGCTATAACTCTCGTCTCTCTCTTCTCTCTCCTCTCGTCGCTCTCATCTCTCTCCGCGCTCGTCTCCTCTCTCACTCTCATCTCTCTCTCCTTCTCCTCTTATCAGCTCGTGTCTCCCTCGGCAATTTATACCGCCCCTTCTTTTTACTTCCACCTCTCTCTTTCTCTCGTTTTCTTCGCCTCTGCTGGTTGTTTTTCGTTCGCCGTCTCGGAGTCGCATCGCTTTTTCTTCGCTTATCCTCATACGCATATCTCTCGTCTCTCTCTCTCAGCTATCCTCGCTCCTCGTCGGTCTCTCCCACCGTCCTTTCTAACTTCTGGCCTCCCTCACTATCCGCCCCCCTCTCTTTCCTGCCCATCCTTCCCCTCTCACTCTCCCACGGCGCTCCTCCGCCGCCGCTGTTTCTATGTGGTGAGCGGGGAGTAGCAGTAGCAGTAGCAGCGAGTCTCTCTCTCTCTCGCCTTGCTCGGCACCTGGGTGGCTTTTATGCAAGCTTGCCGGCTATTAGTCGCTAAATAGCGGCGATGAACGCTGCGAATCAAGCTGCTCTAATAATCTCCCCGACAATCGGCTAGACGCGCACCGACCGTCGCTCGCGTAGCGCTCACGAACCGCAGCGTTGCGAGTACGTCTCCCGTCCACGCACCGCATCGCGGCAGCAGCGCGTGGCTCCGCCCAGGCCCCGCCCAGCGTTTCCGTGACGCCGTCGCGAGGCGACCAATCGGAGAAGAGGATCGGTGATGGCTCACCAGGCGGTCGCGCGGTCATCAATTACCTTTCGCTGCGACTCGGGGCGAAAAAATGTTGAAAGATCGAGTGCATGCATGTGCGTGTGTATGTGCGTATGTGTGTGTGTGTCTACCGGGTAATGGCGACCAGCGCTACACGTGCGTCGGCGCTTGATTGACGCAGACGATCAAAACCACGGACTCGCAGAGAGCGAACTGAGCATGCGGGCTGCCCCCCGCCTCCTCCTCCTCTTCCTCCTCCTCCTCCTCCTCCTCCCCCCTCCTCCTGCCTCCGTCTGACCATCCACGGAGCTATGAGACGTGGCGTCGGCTCGACTAGCACTGTGCCTTTTTGATCTCGCGCACACCAGAGGGATCCGACGAAGCGAATTACTGGATACGCGAGTGCGTGCGTACGTACGTGTGTATGTGTGTATATATATATATATATGTATGTATGTGCGTCCGCGTGCGCGCAGTAAGAGAGAAAGCTCGCATCGACGCGCCCGTGTGTTGAGCAGAGAGCGAGCATAGATGCTCATACCTGGAGACCAGGACAGGTAGACTCGGCGGTGACTGTTCACACGGTGCGTCACCTTACACCACGTCGCACGAGAGACATCACGAAAGAGAGCAAGAGAGAGATAGAGAGAGACAGCGAAAGAGAGAGAGAGAGGCAGCGAAAGAGAGAGAGAGATAGAGAGAAAAAGGGAGGCTGCGAAAGAGCGAGAGACAGGCGCACCGAGAGGCAGAGAAAGAGAGAGAGAGATAGACGCGCAGAGGCAGACAGACAACTCGTGAGAGAGATCAACGACAGAGATACACGCCCCCCACCACCACCATCACCATCACTCTCTCACACCAAGGCCGCTATACGCACATCGCAATTTCCTTGTTTCTAGACCGTGTTTTTTTCTCTCGCTCTCTACCCGACAAAAAACCGCGAACGAGGCAAGGGCATCTCTCCCACCGGGCGAAGAAGGACCACCCATCGGAAAAGCGCGGAGGCAGGGTACCTACGACGACGACGACGTCGACGTGTTTCCGTTCGCCGACGTCTTTCGTCTGATTCCTCGTCGCCTCGGTCCGGCCTCGTCTGCACGGCGACGAGCATTTTTTTGCTACAAGCTGCCGCTGCCTGTGACTGACCGACCGACCGACTGACTGACTGCGCGAGTGAGTGTGGTGCAACACTGCGGCGTGATAACGACGCAGCCGTCGACGTTCCAAAAACAGCAAACAGTAAATTTCCTGCATAGCGAGCCGAGCGTCGCTATTTGTTTGCGTTGCAACCGTACACGTTGACGCGCGGACGTATATGAGTTGTCTTCACAATCGCAGCGGGACCATAACAGCAGATAGACGCGGACGGACGGACGAACCTCGGCAGTGGGGACACCCGTGCGCGCGTGCGTGCGTGCGTGCGTGCGTGTACTGGTCGGACACAAACACACACACACACTGTTAGTTCGCCGGATTCCCGAGTGGCACTTATACGCGGCACGTGTGGCGAGAGACAGCGCATCTAGAGGTGAGAAAGCGAGAGAGAGAGAGAGAGAGAGAGAGCGAGGAGGAAGAAGAAAGTAAAAGAAAAAAGAGAGATAGATAGTAAGGAGGAAAAAGAAAGAGAAGGAGATGATAAATATTAGCGAGAGGTAGCGTATCGGTCGAGGAGAGGAGATGTACGAATGACCTGCAGGCTGAAAATATATTTCACAGAGGTAGGGTAAAGAAACCTACCGTTACGCTGTTCGTGTACCAATGGTGTCGGAGTAGTTATTAATTAGTGTATTGCAAATTATTACAGCGTCTGAATTTCGTGTGTGTGTGGTGCGGTGTGTGTGTGGTGGTGTGTGTGTGTGGTGTGTGTTTGTGTGGTGTGTGTTGTGTGTGTGTGTGTGTTGTTTGTGTGTGCTGTGGTGTGTGCTGTGTGACGCGCGCGCCGCGTGTGTGTTATGCGTGTTGTGCGCGCGCCGCGTCGTGTTGTATTGCTGTGGTGTGGCGTGGTCTGTGGTGAGCGCGTGGTGTATTTCGCGTGCGTGTGGTGGTATGTGCGTGCGTTGTGTGTACACGCGCGCGCATACATATATGTCATATCTTTCAGAAATTGTTTAGATGCGTAGGTTAAGCAACAATGCTATCGATATTTTAATTCTGCCGGACGCACTTAGTGCAATGTACGAGTGTCAATAAATGAGAAATTAACAGGCAAAGCCTAATGCACTTCCTGTTAGATGCACTTTACATATAATAGAACAAGTAAATATAATAATTATTATCGCGTGTGTATCTGCGTACCTGCGTGCGAGTGTGTGCTGTGTGTTATGAGTGAGCACGCACACACACATTCACACATAACACCACATCACACACACACACACACATCACCAAGCCACACACACACACACACACAGCAAACACACCCACCATAACACACATCACCAACACATTGTCTACCACACACGGTATATATGTAAATATACATAATTTAATATATATAAGTATATACCCAACGTTAATATCACACGATCCACACAAACACACAACACACAACACACACACACACACACAACATCACACATCACACACACACACACACACACACACACACATACACACAAACACACACACACCACACACAACACGACACACACACAAGCCACACATCACAATCACGCGTCTCCACGCGCAGGCTAACCAACATACGTATGAAAAAAACACCACCCAGCCGTATACACACAATCCGAAAATTGACTGCTCGCTCTAAGATCTAGAAAAACATACATAGAGTCACACGCGCGCACGACACGACCGCACACGACGCACACACGATGCCGGCATTGCATTCGCGCACGCGGAAACCTGAAGAAATCCATAGAAGACGTAGATCCTTGAAAAGGCGATTTGCATCTCGATAGCTCACCTGCAGACCGGGTTACCGAACATAATTTCTCCAGCACGTGGACGCGTTCCAACACGATGGCAAAATTCCATACAGAAAACCACGCGCGAAAATCAGAAAACATACCGCATTCCACCCCATTCACTTAGCATCCCAGGGTGACCCTCCTACCAGCCCGGCATCTATTTACTGGTGGAGTCTCTCGTTCCTTTTTTCCTTCGCTCTTTCTCTCTCTTTTAACTTCTGTGTCTCTCTCTCGCTCCCCCATCTCTCTCTCTCCTCTCATTACTTCCTTCCTCCCTCCCTCTCTCTCTATGTACATACAGGCCGCGGTTAAGTGTAGGATTGAGCCGACGGTGATGTGGCAGCAGCAGCAGCAGGCAGCGAGTAGGCAGCAACTAGCAAGGTAAGCAGCCCACCAGCAGGCAGGCACGCAACTAACAGCACTAAAACAGCAGACGCAGCAGCAGAACAGCAACAGCAGCAGCAGCAGCAGCAGCAACAGCAGCAACAGGCAGCAGCAGCAACAGCAAGCAAACGGCGGCGGTGAGCAGCAGCAGGCAACAGTCAGCAACCAGTCAGCAGCAGCAGCAATGCAGCAACGCGGCGGGAGCGTGTAGCGGCGCTTGGTAAGTCGTTGGTTATTTCTATAGTGGTTATTAGCAGTGGCCGGCCGCGCATAAGCACAATACCAGGCGCAGCGAGAGTCACGACTGGATTACACGCGTAACGCTGAGGCGCGGTCAGTGCTTGTGCTGGCTGCGGGGACGAGTACCGGAATACTAATATTATATGTGAGCATGTTGTGTTGTTTGTTTATATGATATTATAGGTATATAGTATATAATAATGATATATAGTAGTAGTAGTATAGTATTATAGTTTTATATTATTATATTCAGATATTATTTTCTGTTATCGGATTACAATATTATAATATTATATTAAGCTATAATATAGTAAAATATAATAGTATATATTATATAAATATATAATATATATATAATTGTATTATACATGCTGTCGGCGTGTGCGTGTCGTGGGGCGCGTAGCCGTGTGTGTGTGTGTGTGCGCGCGGCGTGGCGTCATACGCAGCCTGTTTCGAGTAATATTGGGTTACTATTTTGGAAAGGATAAAGGGACCACGTATTGTACGACTCAATATAATTAGATTGCTATAGCGGTTGTTATAAATTAAGTTGTCAAAACTTATCTTTAACCAACAGTTACAAATAAAAATAGAAATAGGAAAGAAAATTAATACAGAATAAAATTGTTTTTATAGATTAAATAGCATTGGATTATATTACGTTATATTTTACTGCGATATGAATTAATTCTATTTGATATTATATTGAAATGTAATTATATTTGTAATTGGTGGTGTGTTAAGTGAATAAATATCAATATAATATAATATATATTACATATAATTAAGTAATAATATAATATATATATAATATAATATAAGATAGTATAATATAATAGAATTATAACTATAATAAATAATATAATCTAATATAATATAAATATAATATACATATAATATAATAATATAATATAATATAAATAATGATATATAATATAATGATAATATAATATAATATAATATGAATATATGAAGAGTTTTACGCGCAATTATTATATGTGCTATTTATAATTTAATTATATACAGATAAAACGGTTTATAACTAAGAAGAAAATTGCCGGCAGTTAACAATTATACGAAATATAAACAACCATAGTTCTCTGTTCTCTGTTCTGCCAAATGACAGGTAAATTCGAAAAATATCGCCCGGACGCTATATGTGTATATTATATATATATATGTGTGTATCGTCGCTACACACAGCTGTTTGCCCACAGTTATACCCACGAAATATTTACCCACAGTTTCCTCACACGCGTAGCATAGTTATACGAACCACTGGTTGATAAACGCACATATTCTATTCGCGTAAACGTCTCATTTGACTTTTCAACATCACTAAAATAGATAATAATACATATTAGCCGACAGTGGCATCTCAAATTTCTATGCACGTCCATACGAAACGATTTCATTTGTATACGATATTACCGTACCTAACACCGTACTATTAGATTATTCGTGTTGTATTATTGCGATTATAACTACTAGCGTGTTGTATGTAGAATACGGTAAAATGCAGGAGATCTGCGTGTCTGCTGTTCCAGGCAGGTCTAGGTAATGGAGGTGGCGGTCAGCACACAGGCCCCGTAAAGACAAGCTGCTGCTGCTGCTGCTGCCAACGATTCCACAATGGTCCCGCTTTCACCGACTGCGTATCCGCTACACGCACATATATTTATGTATATTTAATACGTTTATTAATATATATATATATATATATATATATATATATATAATGTGTTGTGTAATGTGTGTGTGTGTGTGTGTGTGTGTGTGTGTGTGTTGTGTGTGTGTGTGGTGTGTGAGTGTGGTGTATGTGTTTGTGTGGTGTTGTGTGTGTGTGTGTGTGTGTGTGGTTGTGTGTGTGTGTGTGTGTGTGCTGTGTGTGTGTGTGTGTGGTGTCGTGTGTGCGGGTTGTTGTGTTGTGTTGTGTGTGTTGTGTGTATCGTGTGTGTGTGTGGTATGTGTGTGTGTTGTGTGGTGTGGTGTGTGTTGTGTGTGTGTATGTGGTTTGTCGTGTGTGTGTGTGGTGTGGTGGTGTGTGTGTGGTGTGTGTGTGTGTGTGTGTGTGGGTGGGGTGTGTGTGTGCGGTGTGTGTGTGTGTGTGTGTGTGTGTGTGTGTATGTGTGTGTGTGTGTATGTGTGTGTGTGTGTGTGTGTGTGTGTGTTTGTGTGTGTGTGTGGGTGTTGTGTGTGTGTGTGTGTGTGTGGGTGTGTTGTACAGAGGCGGTGTTGTTTAATTATTATTAATAATTATTGTTATAATTGTGATTAAAGGGCACAAACATGCGATTATAATTCCGCGAGAACAACTATCATTACCCTATCCCTCTCTTCCTCTGCACACTCGCCCCTTTCTCACACCCTCCCTCGCCTTTTACGCCTAACCTTTCTCCTCCTCGTCCACTTCGCCCTCCCTCGCACTCTCCTCCCCATCCCCCCTCTCCCCTCCTCTCACCCTCGTTCCCTCGCACTTCCTGCCCCATCCCCTTCTCCTCCTCTCTCACCCTCCCTCCCCCTCGCACTCTCCCTCACGCATCCCCTCTTCCTTTCTCCACCTCCCTTCCCCTCGCCACTCATCCATTCCATCCCCCTCTCCCTCCTTTCACCCTCCCCTTCCCTTCGCACTATACCTCCATCCCCTCTACCCTCTCTCTCACGCCTGCCTCCCCCTCGGCACTTTCCTCCCCACCCTGCCCCCTCTTCTGCCCATCCTTTTCCTTTCGTACTCTCCTTCCCATCCCCCTCTCCTTCCTCCCACCTTCCCTTCCCCTCGCACTCTCCTCATCAATCCTCCTCCCCCTCATCCAACTCATCCGCAATTAAGGAATGTCACATTGCTCCTCCCTCGTGTGATTCTTCTCTCGCCTCTTCTAATAATAATTAAATATCGTATCCGCTAATCACCGACACTGTTTTGCATTGCTATGCGCAGACGAATCCGCCATCAGCAAGTATGAGTTTACAAGCCGACACGTCGTCGCCACCACCCGCGCCGCCGATTCCGACGACGACGACGACGACGACGACGACGCAGCAAGCGTCGCCGACGGTCGGCGGACGGCAGTCGCTGAGTCCGTCGTCGTCGCCGGAGTCGCCGACGAACATGGCGGCGGCGACGAGTAAGAACAACCTTGCCTTCTCAATCGCACGCATCATGGAGCCTGCGCCACGTCGCCCGAAACCGACGCGCCCCCTAGTGTCGCTCGGCGCCGTCGTCGACGACTTCAAGCGAAAACTGTCGTCGCCGACGGCGCTGATGGCGACCGCCTACGGCGCGCCGACCATCGTCGGCTCGTCGCCAGTGGCGCCGCCGTCGCCGTACAGCAAGACGAGTCCGCTGGGGACGCTTCAGTCGCAGTATCAGAGTCAGATCGAGGCTCTGAGCGAACAGCAGCGGCAGCGGGACATGCTACTTAGCTCGAGTCTGTACGAGGTGACGATACGTCGCTACATACAGCAGAGCGGCGGCCTGGCGACGCACCTGCAGGCGGCCGCTGCTGCTCCGGCGCTGAAGATCCCCGACCTACGGCAGTACGACATGCTGCGGCAGCTTCCCGCGCTCTACCCACACGGCTTCCCCGCCAACGTCTCCCCGAAGGAGCAGTACAACCTACTGTGTTTGCAGCAACAGCAGCATCAGCAGCAACAGCAACAGCAGCAGCAGAAGCAGGAGGCGGCGTTGAGGTTGCCCAATCACCAGCATCACCATCATCATCACCACTACCCGGCGGCGACAGTCAACCATCGTCAACATCTCCCGCAGCTGTCGCCGCGCTCTGTCAACATTCCCCGCGCCGGACATCCGCTCCCGCCGACGCCGACGCGACCGGCCGACGCGCCCGACTTCCGGCGTCGCGAGAAATCTCGCGAGAGCGCCGACTCGTCGGCGAAGTCGTCGTCGTCGTCGCCGCCAGGCGGCGACGCGGTCGCCGCGACGGTGGCGGCGCGCGGCGGCGGCGAGACGCCGAAGAGCAATAAGAAGGCGGTGCTGAAGCAGAAGACGTTTACTTGTCTCGAGTGCGGCAAGATCTTCAACGCGCACTACAACCTGACTCGCCACATGCCCGTGCACACGGGCGCTCGTCCCTTCATCTGCAAGATCTGCGGCAAGGGCTTCCGTCAGGCGAGCACGCTCTGTCGCCACAAGATCATACATACGGCGGAGAAGCCGCACAAATGCAGCACGTGCGGGAAGGCGTTCAACCGCTCGTCGACGCTCAACACGCACGTGCGCATACACGCCGGCTTCAAGCCGTGGACGTGCGAGTACTGCGGCAAGGGGTTCCACCAGAAGGGCAACTACAAGAACCACAAGCTGACGCACAGCGGCGACAAGCAGTACAAGTGTCACATCTGCAGCAAGGCGTTCCACCAGGTCTACAACCTGACGTTCCACATGCACACGCACAACGACAAGAAGCCGTTCATGTGCAGCCTCTGCGGCAAGGGCTTCTGTCGCAACTTCGACCTGAAGAAGCACGTTCGAAAGCTCCACGACGTCGCCGCCGACGACGCCAGAGCCGCCGCCGGAGGAGGAGGAGGAGGAGGAGCGCAGCCGACGTCGATGTCGGCCGCCAATATGGCGTCGATGACGGCCGCCAGTATGGCGTCGGCGCTATCGCCGATATCGCAGATGGCGCACATGACGCAGTTTTCGAGCGGGCCGCCGCCGTCGGTGCCGCTACCGATACCGGCGGCGCTGATGAGTCAGTTCATGCTGTCGCCGACGTCGCTGGGACACGCCTTCATGCCGAAGATGTCCATGTTGTGACACACGACGCTAGATGGCGCCGCGCGCAGCAACAATCAAACATTCCCTCTTAGCAATATGTGTGTGTGAGTGTGTGATTAATTAATTAATTAATATTATTATTATAATTGTTATGATGATGAGGATGATCACCGGACCATGTATATCCGTTCTGGTGGATATCAGACGTGAATATTCTGCCACTATATGGTTGGACAGAGGCAACAAAGGGGCAACCATCTATCTACTCACACCATGGCCAGACAAAGAAATGGAGAGAGAAAGCGCGAGAGAGAGGCGAGAGAGAGAGAGAGAGAGAGAGAGAGAGAGAGAAAGAAAGAGAGGAGTGAGAATGGTGTATCCTTTACCTTCTCATTCATCATGCGTCAGCAAGGATGCAAACGCCATGACAGTGACGTCACAGCACGCAGCGCCATCTACATCACCGATGGCAGACGACTAAACGGACCGTCGAGTTCTTCTATCGAGTAAAATCCACGGTCAGATATCGCTATCGTCATCGTTCACCCTCGCCGCTACCACTAGACGCCAGAGCGTTCGGACATCGCCAACGTCGCCCGTCGTCGCCGGGGTCATCGTCAACGTCGACCATCGCCGGCCTCATCGTCAACGTCGACCATCGCCGGCGTCATCGTCAACGTCGACTATCGCCGGCGTCATCGTCAACGTCGACCATCGCCGGCGTCATCGTCAACGTCGACCATCGCCTGCCTCATCGTCAACGTCGACCATCGCCGGCGTCATCGTCAACGTCGACTATCGCCGGCGTCATCGTCAACGTCGACCACCGGCGCCGTCATCGTCAACGTCGACCGTCGCCGCCGTCAGCCATGAGAAGAAAGCAAGCGTACTGCGTTTCTAACGGTAATATTTTATCTAGCTTTAGTGTCAATTCACCAACGCATAGCATACGCAGCCGGAATATTCTGGTCATGGCTAGCTTCATTATAAAGATTTCTTATAGCACATATGCAGACTAAATCGTCTGGAAACACCTAGTCTCACTAGTCACTCCATTCACTTTCAACTGGAAAAGTTCAGAATTATAAATTCCAGAACATTCGGACTATACTCTAGGATTCTAGATATTCTAGATATTTTAGATCTTCTAGAAAGTGAGTGTGGAGTGAATCTAGTTGTTGTTTGCGCACCGTCGTTCCCTCTCCCCGCTCACTCACGCGGGATTGCTGCGTGTAAACACTGTTGGAACCGCCTCCCCCCCCCCACGCGCGCGCGCGTCTGCGGGGCCACGCGTCACTACGCTACGTCAGCCCCATCATCAAACATAGCTGCATGCTACATGCTACTGCTGCGTGCTACTGCTACTGGTACTGCTATCTGACCTACTGGCTACTGCTCACTGCCTACTGACCTGACTGCTGCTACTCCCTATGCTGCTGCTTACTGCTACTCTGCTACTGCTACTGCTGTGCTGCTGTCTGTACTGTCATTCTAGTTGCTGGCTGCTACTGCTACTTGCTGGCTGTCTACTGCTACTGCCTACTGCTACTGCTACTGCGTACTGCTGGCTGCTGCTGCTAATGACCTATGCCTACTGCTACTACTTACTAGCTGCTATCTGCCTACTTTCCTCTTGCTGCTTGCTACCTGCTACCTGCTACTGTGCTGCTGCTGACTCACTTGCTACTGTTACTGCTACTGTGGCTGTGCTGCTTGCATCCTGCGGTAATGGCGCTGTGTTGTGAGAAGCAAAAACGCCCACGAGCGACGCACCGGAGCAAAAGAATTAAAATTATGGGATTATATTATGTCGTCGTGTATACTATATATATATATATATATATATATATATATATATATATATAAGCGCGGGCAAACGGCATATAGATAAGCCGTCTGCCCGCGCGTCACCACGCGAGAACACGCGTGATAAAGTAAACTGTGGATAGTGCGTGTGATATAACGTCTGTCCTGCACACGCGAATCACGCGAGATCACGTGAATGTAGGAAGAAACTTGTGTTTCATTGCTAATCCTTGGTTTCACGCCCTCTCCCCCAGCTCCTCCTCATCTATCTCTCCCTCTCCCTGTCTTTCTCTCTCGCTTTCTT